GGTGATAATTGAATTTTTAGTTAATGCTGCTGTTTTGCTGAGACGTTGCGGAAATAGAAGCGGTTCCTGAAAATAGAAGTTCCATGTGTCGCCGTCATAGATGGTTAGGACAAATACTCATTTTAACATGAAAAATATACCTTATATAGTGTTATAGCACTGTACTGCATATAGTTAGGACAGGGTGTAATACAATTTCTAAATAGATTTATACATATTTATTTATGAATTTAAAAATGTGTAGATGTACATTTTATAAATAATAGTTTATAAATAATATAATACATAAGTAATAATTAGACTTTAAATTGAACACCCCCACACATCTATAAATATACATGTCTAATTAATGAATTACTACATACATTTTTAGAATTTAATTTAGATATTTAAAGCAAACATACAAGCACATAAATTATTTAATACATTTTTTAAAAATGTTATAACAATTTCAATTAGAATCATTCTTTTTTCTCTCTCTGCAAAGGTGGTCAAACTGTTTCCTTTCCCTTCCATATCTCTCCTGGCTGACTCCTCTTGTCTTGTCTTATTCTATCTCTGAGGCTCTCCTTGCCCTACTCTCCAAACAAATAAGGAAGTATGGACTTGATCAACTGGTCTCCGAATGGAATTGACAACATCTACTCGATGAGAAGTCTGGGTTCGGGGGAACTAACCTGTTCTGTGGGGAAGTTTGCAGATGGATACATGATGGACAGGTGGGAGAAGTGGTGCATCATCTGCCTGGCTGCTCTGTCTCTGGAGGATATTAAAGATATCTACCTATTCGGTATCAACGATTAATAAAAGCAGTCAGTGCAGCACAAAACCCCACCAAGCTGGCTGGCTGGATTGAAACTGTGGTGAGCATGGTGGTTGGTACTAAAACTGTGGCATTAGAGCGCAAATTGGAAAACATCGTGGAGAAACTAGCGACGTTGTTATACGATTTGGAAAGACCTTTGATGGACATTTGATATCTGCAAAATTGGCAGATATCGACCCAAATTGAAAACTTTTTCTTCTCTTTTGGCTTCCCTGTGACTCTCCTGCCAGGCGGCCTCGGCTGGAGACAAACAACTTCCCTCGGACAACATGATAACAAGACGCTCTAAATTCCGGCTCCCTGTTCCAAGGACACCTGTGAGACTCTACAGGCTTACACACACACACACATACACACATACACAGCAAGACAATCACTGCCTAACCTCCACATCCCACATCTTTGTATGTTTTCACCCGCCGGAGTTGGTAGGTGGGTCTGTGACCAGCGCTCACTGGCTGCAGGACCAGATGGCTGCCGCCTTTATCAGACTATACACACCTCCCCTGTTCCCATCCCCTGTTGCCATAATATGTCTATGTGTTTATGTGCTTAATTCAACGGCAGTCTAAGAGGGGCTTTTTTCGCGTCCCTCTTCCCTAATGTATCTTATTTCCTGTTTCTAAAAGCTACCTCTTGTCTGACTTGTATTCACCTAAAATGTGTGCTGTTTGTGTATGGTCGGGGGGTCCAATTTCACTGCATGTAAAAGTGTATGTGACAAATAAAGGCTTTTCATCATCATCATCATTTAACTTTCAATGCATAGTCTTCAGCTTAGTCCCTTATTAATCAGGGTTCATTACAGTGGAACTAACTGGCAACTATTCCAGTATATGTTTTAAGCAGCGAATGCCCATCCAGCTGCAACCCAAAACTGGGAAACACACATACACCCTCACATTCACTGGCCCAGCCAGGACTTGAAGTAACAATCTTCTTGCTGTGAGGAGTCAGTGGTAACCACTGAGCCACCATGCCGCCCTCTCAATTGCAATATAACTATTTAAAACATATTTAACATTGTACATATATTAAAAGGCAATTGTGAACAACGTAATGCCTCCTTGTTGAAGAAAACTATTCATTCCTTTTATAAAATACTATGTATGAACAAAAATATTGTATCATCTTACAAAAGCCTTAAAGTGATCCAAATACTGCTGGTTCGAGAATAATGAAAAAATCAGACTGTGTAAGGTAAAGCCTTGGGGACTTGATCAGGAGACACCCTGTGCTGCCCTACACAATGACCTCTGCCCTGCACAAGCTGACCTTCAGAGGCAGATATCTGACCAAACTCTACAGGATAGAGATGCTGATGGAGAAGCCATTACTCTGCTGTGAGGAGGTGTGACGGGGTGCTATGGAACTGTGCCTGCGTAAAATTAACTCAGGATGAGCAGATGACAGTGCGGAGGTAATGCTGAGGTCTGTGCGCAATTATAGAACCGCATGAGCTGCTGATCACAGGCTGGGTGTACAGTTTGTGCCATAAAATGCCATGAGGTACTCCATATTTCATAAGCACAAATGTAATTTTGTGCATTATTAAAATGTAAGATTAGAAAGCATGAATAATTCATGTTGGTTTAAATATGTATTTTTTAAACAAAGATAATAGCATGTAAAATGCAAATGAGATATTTATTATTTAGAGCAAAAAAGAAAAACCTATATGAATAATACAAAACAGTACATATAGCTTTTATCAGTCCCATGAATATGTATCTACAGTATAGGCATACATACACTTTGCATATACTTTATTACATATACTTTATTGAGAAAAAAAATGATGAACATGGCTTTATAATAAATTACAATAATGTTTTAGACACATTTTTACATTTTCATTCATTCATTCATTCATTCATTCATTCATTCATTCATTCATTCATTCTCCTTCGGGTTAGTCCCTTTATTCATCAGGTGTCGCTACAGTTAAACTAACGGCCAACTTATCCAGCATATGTTTTGCGCAGCGTATACCCTTCCAGCTGCAACCCAGTACTAGGAAATACCCATACATTCACACATTCACTCACACACTTACAGCGCATGTCTTTGGACTGTGGGGGAAACCGGAGAACATGGAAGAATCCCAATCAAACACAAGAGAACATGCAAACTCCACACAGAAGTGCGAACTGGCCCAGCTGGGACTTGAACCAGCGACCTTCTTACTTTATGGCTACAGTGTTTACCGCTGAGCCACCGTACCACTCTATACATTTTCATTAATTCATTAATTTTATATAAATGTTATATTTATATTTATGCAATATATATGTTGCAATGTTGCATTTTTAGTTTCAAAATGATCTCATGTCACTTTATTTTTCATAACTTCATATACTTCATATTAGACCCCCTAGTTTTTTGCGATTACATGAACGCTGAATCCAACGCGAACTCACAAAAAAGTCACCTTAACACCTTAATCAAACTATTACCATAATGTAGGACTTTTTGAGCGTTTTGCGACAGGATCGTCCACATACTCACTCACTCACCCACTCACTCACTCACTCACTCACTCACTCACTCCCTCACTCACTCCCTCACTGACACACCTGCATTGTGAAATGCAGTTTTTTTTTTCTTCCATTCAGCATGCGGTATGAACTTCCGTTAAAACAGCACTCTTCCAGCAGTTTGTGGTTACATCCAATATCTCGTTTGTCATGATGGGCATACATGATATATTCCAGAATGAAAGTAAAAGTGCCAAACTGCAGTTAATGTCGATACATTAAAAATGAAACACCTGAAATTACATGAAATTCCGGAGGAAATGCGGATAGCATGGTGACGCAATGACATTAATCTAATTATGTGCTATAACATGTAAAACGGGATCATGAAAGGAACACTCAAAAAGCAACTCCTTAATCTTATTATTGTCTTAATTAGATTAAGGCAAATACTTTGATTACTGATGTCTATGTAAAGTAGTCAGTGTTTCTAAACCAAGTTTCTGGAGGACCTTCAGCTCTGCCAACACAATCTCGCAGCAATTCGTAACTTTTTGATTCGGTGGCTAATTCGTATGAATTTAGTACTATTTTCTCATTACCCAATGACGGTTGGATGCCACGCCTCGTTTTTAAAAATGTATATTTTTGTATGACTGAACTCAAACGGGTTTGTACGAATTAGCCTCGTAAGATCGGGCTGTCTATGCGAATGCGTCCTCAACCAAACACGCGTGACGCAGATCATCAGCTCATTAACGTGTTTTGTCTTCTACTGTTTTGTTCTATGTATTTATTATTTTTTTAAATTATATAGATAGATAGATAGATAGATAGATAGATAGATAGATAGATAGAGATAGATAGATAGATAGATAGATAGATAGATAGATAGATAGATAGATTTATATCCAATACAAATAAACAAAGAAATGTAAAATACAGTCAAAACATTTTTAATCTGTCAAAACACATCAGTCTGAAGGGGGTTGGGTTTGCAGCTAGACATTTTGGGGGTTTGCTGACAGGAACAGCTGTTCACCACTGAAACACTGAATTAAAATTAACTAACTAATACCACTGACCCTCAGCAGATTATCCTCCTGTATGGGTGCTCATTCATTATAAAACACTCGCAGGACTTTCATTTTGAAAACTATGCAGAATTGCAAAGTGTTTAAAAGAAATAAACACTTCACGCATAGTTTGTGAATCAACAGACTTTCTTGTATGAGTTGCACACACAAGGCACACGCGAGCTAGTTGTTATTATTAACTAATCATCTTCAGCTTTACATTTTCATGACAGTTTGCTTTATATAAATTAGAGATGCAGTCCTAGCAGGCGTGAAGCAAATGGGAGTTTTTAACCACCGTTAAATTTTTAAGTTATATTGAAGCTGCCCACCTGCAGGCCCACTGGTTAAGAATCCCTGATCTAAATGAATAAAAAAGTCTATTAATTAATTTCGGACAATTTGGTGCAGAGTAAATTACCAAACCTCTAACATTTTGTTTACAATACACACAATGCTAAATGATCTACTGCTAAATGGCCAGTATGCTCTCTATGTAGTCTTTTTTACTTATTCTCTTTTGCTTTACCACCTTTCCCAGTAATAGAACAGAAATAGCAGCTTGTTAAAAATGCACTCTTATATCCATACACAAATAAGAGCACAATAGACTGTTCTTACCCGGAGTCTGCGTCCGTATACTGTGACCTGCCCTCGCGCTTGCTCTTTGCGCTGTCTCCACTCCACCAGGTTGAGTCCATTGTCGATGGGCAGCGTGACGTTTCTCTTGCTTATGGTTGGGTTCACTGTTCCTGACAGCAGGTGAGGCTCCGTGTGGAGAGACACTTCCATACCGTTTGCCAGTACCAGACGCAAAGAGCCATCCAGTCCGATGTAGTAACTGTTTTTGACTTGATCTAGGATTTAAATCAGAAACGACAGTCTCATATTTAGTGCAAAATAATTAAATTCAGTGTTCACTTAGAGTCAATTAGGAATAAATATAATCTGTCATTATTTACTAACTTAAGTGGGAAAACGTGTTTCTGCTGAAAGATAAAAGATAAGAATGTTATAATTATTGACCTTATTTTTCACATTCAAGCATGCGCAGCCATTGGAATCTTCTGGCTTGAGGCTTCTTCTCTCATTATTTTTTATTGTTTTTTTAGATGTTAAAAATAGCTTGTTATGCTGCTTAATGTTACAAATATATTAATATTATATTATTATAAAATCTTGTGGTCGATCCCAATTGTAAGAGCAACAAATAATAACTTGACTTCTAGTTGATCATTTGGAAAAGTGGCAGAAGGTAGATTTTTTTGCTGGGGAGTGACAGCGGGAAACATCAGAAAGACAAAATTACACAAAATCAGAGTCGGCTAAATAATGCCGCACCACACAAAATTGATATGTGTGTAAATGTAATGGTTTAGAAGCATTTCTTGACTTTGAGATTCATTCATTTATTAATTTTCTTTTCGGCTTAGTCCCTTTATAAATCTGGGGTCACCACAGTGGAATGAACCGCCAACTAATCCAGCATATGTTTTACACAGCGGATGACCTTCCAGCTGCAACCAATCTCTGGGAAACACCCATACACACTCAATCACACACATGCACTATGGCCAATTTTAGCTTACCTAATTCACCTGTACCGCACATATTTGGACATATATTTGGACTCAACACGGGGAGAAAATGCAAACTTCACACAGAAATGCCAACTAACCCAGCTGGGACTCGAACCAGCGACCTTCTTATTGTGAGGTGATCTTGTATGTCACCGGCACCGACATTGAGATGAAATGTTCAATTTTACATTGTTGAAAAAGAAATTAATAATAAAAAAATTATATATTAAATGTAAAAAATATTTATTTGTTTACATATAGACAGTAAAACACTTTTCATTGTTTATCAAACTCATTTGCTCATCGTCTGTTTCTTTTAAAGTCTTTAAATTTAATATTAAACCTTGAAGGGCAAATACTTAATTTAATTCATGGGGCACATAATTCAATAAATATAATTCAGTAATTCATATAAAGCATAAAATGTTATAAATATTAACATATTAATTAGATAAAATTATCAGCTGCACTGAAAAAAAAATAGCTCAGCCTTGCATGCTTAATTTGAACAAGAAAAAATATTCATCCTAAAACATTAAATAAATATTATAGAAAGCAAAAATGTAACTTTCTCAAGCATCAACATATTGTTACAACACCAACTTTAAAAGTAATGCTTCAATGAATTATCTGATCTTTATATCAAGAACTTTGATAATTTACATTTAGAGGACCCTTGGGGTCTCTGTCATGTTAATGTAGGAAAGAGAACTGTTACACACATATTGTTTGCTATATGGATTGCAAAAACTTTGAAGCTCAATATCTCAAAATCATTCAGAACACAGATGGAACCTTATAATTCTAAGGTGACGATTTGTGCTGCCCATTACATTACAAACCACAGGAAAGGGCAAATTCTTCAACAGCATAGCACTCCTTCTCATTCTTCAGCCTCCCCATCAAAGTTCCTGAAAGTAAAGAGGGTCAAGATGCTCCAGGATTGGCCAGCCTAGTTACCATACATGAACATTATTGAGCATGTCTGGGGTAACATGAATACAGAGGCTTTGTAAATTATTGAGCCCCCTAGTCCTAACTTTCGGGGCTCCAAAAAGGCATGGGCCCTTAGAATCATCATTGTGCGGTGCCGATGATCTAGAGGCCTTTGCCTTTCATGTAAGCCACTTACATACACCAAATAATCAACTAGAAGTCAAGTTATTTGTTGTTACTAAAACTTGGATAGGCGACAAAACTTTTGTCAGGTAGTGTATAGTCATGAACACACTTGTTTTCTGCCGTTTTTCATTCCTAGACATTTTTCTAATAGGCAACTGAATCTGAAGTTCTAAAACAATCTCAAAAACAAGCACAGTTCTGCATTGCGCAATAAGGCCAATAATTGACTTTTTTTCTACAAAATTGGGTTTACAAGGTGCAGTTCAGACCCGTTTTCTTCGAATAGCAACTCTGTTTGTTTTGCAACTGTGAACTTACATGGTTTCTCAAATAGTTTCCTTTATTTTTGAGTTAAACTGTCCCCCCTGAATTCTGACATCTTCTATATCTTCCAGATCGATACTGTATGTATTATACAACTGTACTGAATATCTAGCATCTCTTTCTCAGAATTGTGACTTTATTATTTTTGAAATGGCAAGTTTAGATGATTTCTTACAATTCTGACTTTCCTTCTTGCATATTTGAGTCAAAAGTGAGATATAGAAAAATTGATATGGTGTATATTACAATTTTTTGGTGGTTGTCCAGCATAACCTAAAGCAATGACTGTTAATATGTTTAAATAGCAACATATGACACCGTTGCTTCAACCTCAAGCAACAACGTAGAATCCTTAACCTTTTTGCAAGGTTGGTACAACGTTGTGAAGGTCGCTATGTTGAGGCAACATTTTGATGTGAACTTGCAATTTCATATTTCAAAGTCTTTATAAATTTTTCAGCATAATTGCAGGTTTAAAACGTACAATTGCTCAATAACAAATAACATTTCTTTTAGTATTTTAGTGAGCAGATTACATAAAAAGTCAATCCAAAAGTGACACGTTTGGTGCGAACATGCAGAATTCACCCAAATCTCGTTTTCTGCACACCCAAAAAAAAAATAAAATAAAAAAATCATAAAAAGAATAAAGCTGAAGATTAACATAATTTATAGACTTGCAATTTGGAGTGAGTGATGCAATCCGAGTGCATTTGGGTTTTTTTTTTCTTGCGATTTTAAGGACTGAAAGATATGAATTGTAAATTGTAAAATTGAAAGTCATGTGCTCCACATTTTTGCTCAATGTGCATACAGTACTGAAACTAATATAATATATTATTATAATATATTATAATACTGAATACAAAAAAAAATATATAAATATATATATATATATATATATATATATATATATATATATATATATATATATATATATATATATATATATATAAAATAATAATTAAAAAAAAAAACATTATTTTGATTTCTTGGGGACTGCAAGAAACTAGTTGATCATGACTTTGACTCATGGTGGATATATCGCTATTCAAGATAATAGGGTGATAGTTTCAAATTTTTTAATTTCCAACAAGATGATAAGAGCCACAGTAAATTATGGCTAAATGCTGAAACAAAATGTCTGACAAATATCCTTTCTTTGAGTTACATTCTGTATTTCTCTCAAAATGGCAGCCAAATTTATGAGCAGACTGTTTGCTCAACGAGACCAGACAGACAGTGAAACAAAGGGATGATTCAAAGCCTAGTTAGTGTTTGAGCTGCCCTCAAAAGACCGAAAGAGAGCGAGTGAGGCAGAACGCTATCATAGTTGAGGCCGTCTGCCTGTGGCAACTGAGATGCAGCTAAATCTGAAACTGTCTGTCTCCATCCCCAGGTGGTCTCGCTAAGCGCTTCGGAGGGACAGGAAAGATGGAAGACGGTGAAAGAAAGCGGGCAGGGGTGAACATGAGATAAATAAAGAGACTGGAAAGAGAAAAAAAATGCGAACAAGAGCCACGTAACCAATGAGAAAATGTCTACTTTGATGAAACTCTCATTACTGGTCAAAGAGATTTAATTTCTCAGAGCAGACAGGAACCATATAAACTAGCTAACATGTCGCTAGGGGGGTTGAAGACACTTTTATTCCTGGTATTAATTAGAGATTCTGACAGAAAACAGAAAAAAGCTAATCCCTTGAAGGCTAGACAGTTTGTGCAGAAGTTTCTAGAAATGTAAATACATCTATTATATTAGAAATGACACAAATCTCAAATGACAGTGGTTGCTAAACAGTCCAGTTTGTCTATCTGCTTATGTTAGGGTATTAAGTACGTGTTCAAGTAACTGTGATTATATTGCTACAATTGCAGTTTATGTTTGTGAAATACAACTTAATTTCTTGCAGTTTAACTCTTATTATGTGATTACAATATAATATGTAGGCCCACATGGAATCTGTGCGCACAGAAATCAAGAGGGGTCTGGATGCAGACCCAGTTCAGTGCAAACTGAGCTACATCCAACACTTTTTAATGCGCTCACCTAACCCCACCCCTAACAGTGACGTCACTCACTCCATTGAGTGCATTGTGTTCGATATTGCATCGCTGAGTGATGCTATCTCAGCTTGCATCATAACGGCTGCATCCATTTGAGTCATTGAGTGTATTTTGTGTACATGTGGTTAAATTTATAATTACTGAGTTTTTAAATGGATTTAAGTAATATTACTAACTAATATGAACATGTTCATATGATTTACGTACTGTAGTGTTTGCTAAGCAGAGCCGGCCCTCCCTATAAGCGAATTAAGCGGTTGCGTAGGGCCGCTTTATTTATAATGGAAGGTTGCTGGTTTAAGCCCCAGCAGTGTCAGTTGACATTTCTTTGTGGAGTTTGGTTGTTCTCCTTGTGTTCACATGGGTTTCCTCCGGGTGCTCCAGTTTCCCCCACAAGTTCAAAGACATGCGTTACAGGTGAATTGGGTAAGCTAAATTGTCAGTAGTGTATGTGTGTGAATGAGTGTATATGGGTGTTTGCAGTGATGGGTTGGAGTTAAAAGGGCATCCGCTGTGTAAAACATATCCTGGATAAGTTGGCGGTACATTCCATGGTGGCGACCCCAGATTAATAAAGGGACTAAGCCTAAAATAATTAATGATTAATTTGGATATGTATTATTTGAATTTTGGATAATATATTTTACCATAAACATTATTTTTTTTTTTTTGTTTATTTATTCATTTGCTGGGAATTAGAACTGAATTTGGAAATAGTTTTGAAACAAAACTTTGCACTTAAAACAAAATCAAATAATGTCTAATGGATGTCTTCAGTGGAGTGCTTACAACATGATTTTCTTACTCAACGAGTGTAAAGGAGTAAAGAGTAAAAGGGAAAGTAAAGAGGCCGAACGGAGGAGGCTCATTCTTTATCCTTGCGTAGTCGGATAGTGTAGAGTTTTTTTATTAGAGAAACTAAAGTAGATCTCATAGTCTGTAACAAAACGTCTATCAAACTAATCAGAACTAATATCTGACAATGGCTTTATAAATGCATTGTCTTTAAAATAAATCACAACATCCACATTGATAGTTTCTATTATTTACTTTGCCACAAGTTTTTCTTATTTATGCTGTTTTATAACCACAGCAACATCATCTTCATAAACTTAAATAAAACTATTGCATGTTCATCTGTTGATGTTGGATTCAGGTAAATAACATTGATGCTTTAAAAAAGCCCTTACCGAATGACCTGGAAATCGAACATGCACTCAGCACAACCTTGAAAAGTCAATAAGCTCCACAAGGTCACCACCTCCGAGAAATGTATATCCAGATTGTGTGTGTTTGAGCAACAGCCAAACTGGTTTCCATTTACAAAGCAGACAATAGTGAATTAATTAGCAGCAAAGCGTTTGGCAGGGTGCCCTATTCCCTCTATCCAGCAGATGTCCGGGACAAGGTCACCACACATAGGTGACTATTAGTTTAGTCCAGGATAAGAATATAAGCAGAACTTTACTTTGCTCTCCAGTAAACCAATCGAAGCCCAAAAGAGGAGGACAGCCCTTCAAATCAAACGCTCACAGGAGCACGGAAAAAAATCTTTACAGTTTCTGAAAAAATAGAGCAGGGCAAGGGGAGTTCAAAGCTATTTATTGGGAATCGATGGGGCGCTCGGTTAGGTGAAAACCAGGATATCACGATGCCAAAGTATGCAAGGAAAATCACAAGCTGAGACGGTGGCCCCTGACCCCAGCAACGCCCCTCTGTCTCAAGGGTCAAAGTGATTAAGATTTGGTTTTTAGAGATGGACAGGGAAATCAGGAGCTTGCTGGGAAAAAAAGAGATGCTGGAGCAAACAAAAGTGGTGGACAGGAAATCAATCCGGACTTCTGTCTTCATGAGTGGGCGGCGTTGCGATTTTAGAGAAAATACAAACACTCATGGCTTCATTGATTTCACAGAGAAGAAGCTTGTTTGCTACCCACAAATATATCAATTTTGCCTCACAGTTATTTTACTTTATGTACAGCTGCTGATGTTTCTGCTGTACAAGAGAAGGAAGTAATTACTTTTGAGTGAGCACTTGCTTTCTTTCTGGTATTTACTCGCTTCGAACACATTTGAGAGCAAACTAAGAACTAAGAAATGAGACTCTACTACTAAACTCTCACAAGATATCATACACTTAAAAAAATGACTTGTTGTTTGTTCAAACTACTTATTTAAAATGAGAAACAACACAATTCTTGAGTTTTTTGGTACAAATCAATTGTTGTATGTTCAATCCACTTACTTGTTCACTTACTATGTTCAATCCACTTATTTGTAAAAACTAATGAGTTAACTTAGTCATTTTATGTTGCCCCAATACAAATCAGTTGTGTGGAAGCCAGCATTTTTTTACAGTGTGAGTTGCACACAATTTATTCATGTTGCCCCAATACATATCGATCCAGTTAACTTAATTGTTTTTACTTATTGTTTTTAAGTCGATTGAATATAAAACAATGAAGTTGTCCCGAAAAAAAAAAGAAAAAAAAAACAATTTTGTGTTGTTTCAGCTTATTTTAATTAAGTAGTATGGACAAGCCGCAAAATCATTTTTTTTTTTTTTTGAGTGTATGGCATCACTAGCTCATCTACAGTTGTCTTTCCAGAAGACACTAACACAGTAATGTTTAACAATTTTTTTTAAAGATTTAAGTCTTTTATGTCTGCAGAATATGTCTGTAAAGTTTCAGCTAAAAATACTCATCAGATTATTTATTATACCTTTTTAAAATCTTGGACAGTTGAGCTGTTAGGACAGTGCAGCTGTTTTTGTTGCCTGGGCCTTCAAGATTCTCCCCGCCAACTGTTTGCACATGCGTGTCAGAGCTATAGAGGTCTGTCTGATGCGTGTAGCCTTCACATGGATAAACAGCATAGTGACAGACAAGAATGGAGTTGATCTCCCTTACAACTGTCAGAACCTTCACAATTGTTTTTGAAAGATTTATTGTGGAGCAAGTTTAAGCCTTTCTGCGATGATGAGTCATGCATGTTAATACACTGCTGTATGGACATTGTTAATGTAATAAAATAAACCTGATTTAAGTCCACAAACCTGAAATGAAGCGTCTTATTTTCGAAATGTGATGGCACTGCGCTGTGGTGATAAATTGCGTAGTGATTTTACTGCATTATTATTATTATAACATGCACTTATTTAAAAAAACATTTAAATTTGTAAAACTCATTTTTGAGGTGCAGATGATCACAGAGAGCTGAACAGATCTTTTAATCCCAGTGGCTTTGTGCATGTCCTGTCTTGCTGATATGATTGTACCATAATTTTAAAACATTATACATGCAATCAAACAGACTTGTAATTCATTTGGGCTATAGCTAAAGATAATGTTTGGTCGCAATCATCGTTATTTGCTCCAGAGAAACAGATCTGACTGGAATATTTAAGTGCACCTATGATGAAAATCATCTTTTGTAAGCCGCTTGGTCAAAATTTTGTATAGGTATAGTGTGTCCACAGTCATATTGGGATGATATAAAAACAATAAGTCTCTTTTTTTTTTTTAATTTCCTGATGTTAAAATAGGATCCAAATCCCTTCCATTTTGAGGCAGACCTTACATGATGTAGGAGTGCGGTTTCCCCGCCCGCCGAAATGATTGACAGCTGCATGTCTTCTTAGTAATGCATATAATCATATCAACAAGACAGGACATGCGCAAAGCAATTGGAATGAAAAGATATGTTCAGCTCTCTGTGATCTTTAATCATCGTTTTTAAAACATTTTGTACATTATCATAATGGATATCCTTACAGCAGTGTATATTAACATGTGTCCTGTCACATTTGCCATGCAAAAACAGTGTGCATGTGTGCAGTGTGCAAACCACTGTGTGTATGTGTGTCTGTGCATGCGTGAACTTTGAAAAAAAATTGTGTTTGACTCATCAAAAGGCTTGAATTAACTCCAAAACAAATACATCAAATAAGCATTGGGAAAGTTCTTACTGTAGTATTTGTCACAAAAGTTTTGTGAAATCTGCTTCCATGTTTGTCACTGTGCTGTTTATCCAATGCAGCCGAGGATGAGATTAAGGCACACTTTGACAAGCATGTGAAAACAGTGGGCGGGGAGAACCAGCAATAAAGATACAGGCCACAAAAACAGCAAACAAAGTGTTTAGAGCAGAAAATTCCAACATTATAAAAGCTATAATAAATAATCTAATGGGTGTTTTGAGCTGGAACTTTACAGACACAATCTGGAGACACAAAAGACTTCTCTTAATTCTTGAAAAAGGGGTAAAAAAGGTGCCTTTTACATTTATAGCTAATAAAATTTCTAAAATCTATGCATATTCTATAATAAATGCAATATGCAAACTTAACCTTTGTTCTTTTGACTGATGTAGCATATTTATACTGTCGATTTGTATCAGTCATTGTTCAGTAACACGAAGAGTTCAGCTGCAAAAACCTCTAAATCCATCAGACATATTTTCTTGTAAATGAACATTTTCTATCAGGCTCCTTTGATAAAGTTCAGAAGTTACATTTTATATGAATAGCCTAGTGAAAAAATACTCACTCTATGAGTCATTATGATTCATTACATTATGATTCATTCTTTTGTCCGGTTATTGAGTTCAATTAAATGGCAAATCATTTGCAGTAGTTCTAGAGACAAAGTAACTGAATGGGCCCACTAGACCTAAAACAAACACAATTAATTATTGTCATATCCATAGTTCTTATTTTTGGAGCTTAACAAATGTGAATGATGACAGAATTTCAGACTTGGGTGAAAATATAAGTAAATGCACTGTAATATTAAAGTCACAGATAAGATCCAGTAAGCAGATAGCCTTACCCTGCATGAGCGTGTAGAATGTTCCGGATGCTGACAGGTTGGTGGTGACGGTGATGTCCTCTTTGTTGGAGCCTTCGGTTTGCACGCGTACAGTGCTGTCTGAGTCTGTGCGATAACTGCTCACCCGGCCTGTAGGGTAGGTCACGTTTGTCAGCCGGCCGTAGTTGTCATACCTGAGAAGATGAAGAGAACAGAGGAAAAGTGTGAAAAATCTTGCTCGGCGGGCCTTTAATGAGACCAACTGTGGCTTTCAATCAAACGTGGTTTGCTTTTCTAATAAGGGATCGTCAAAGCAAGTTGCAGAAGCACAAGGAAAGCTTTTGGAAAAATGTAACTATGTCACAAAACAAAATAATTTGGAGTCTAATAGAAAAAGGTTGAAGGTCTTTTTCGCTTTTTGGAAATGTTTACCGCTGTCACAGACATCATTATTTTGTTTGCTCGCACAAGTACAGTGGCACAAAATAACACTTCAGCTTCAATATCTAGAACAAAACTGAGCTTATTTGTTAAAAAAACAAACTGGGTCTCCGTTTTCTCACTGGCCTGCTGTGCTTGAATGTGGTTCTCATGGAAGCTGAGCACTTGCGCAAAATTTATTTGTCTATGAACTCTATGAATTTGAATTTATGAATGATTCATTCTTTATATAAATGTGCATTTATGCACCATAGTAATTGTTAATTATAGTATCTCCTTGTCCTTTACCAACATTACTTCTCTGGTTTATTTTTGTGAAGGAAAGATCAATCTGTCAATCACACGAGATCCACCAAAAGCAAAGCACAACCTTCTAATCTACTCCAATCATTATTTTACTTGTTCCAGCAAAGTCATGCTTGGTCACAATTGCATTTTTCAGGTTGAAACTATACTAAGTTATCATCTACAGAGATACATTAAGCTCTACAGTGGTTCCTCTCTATAATGCTGTTCATCTTTCACTGTCTCGCAGTTTCGCAGATTTTTTTTGTGCAATTTGACATGTTTTTTTTCTGTACAGCGCTTGTGTACAGTGTCCTGATTGGCTGTAGACCATTGTCAAACAATCACAGTCCAGTACAGAATGTGTTCAGCTTGCCAAATTTACATAAATTTTCTATCGCTAACAGCGTGACTGGAGTGCTGTACTGTATGTTTGCAAGTTTTCCCTCCAACAAACTCCTTAATGTCTCTGAATCTTTCTGCACACTCAAGTGCACCTGCGGTGGCACCCGAAAGGCAAAGGAAGATGCTAACCATCGCAGAACAATTTTTACTTCTGGACATTTTAAAGGAAGGTTTATGTTATGTGGCTGTAGGGCGCCATTACAGAATAAATGAATCTTTGGTTCGTTAGATTCAGTTTTGCAGCCTAAAAACATCTATAAGAATTAATAAAAATAAAGCTGACTAGTTCATGGATTTCCCCTATTGCAGGTTATTTTAAGAATCGTAACTCCTGCGATTAAGGAGGAACCACTGTATGCATAAAAAAGGGTAACATTTTATTTTGATGGTCTATTTGAGTATTAGTAGACTGTCTGCTTAATATCTGTTGATACTGACATTTAACAGTCCTTCAACAGACATTTAGGGGCCTTCTCACACTATGCTATCCGAACCGTGCCCAGGCCCGTTTCCCAAATCGATTGAGAAATGTGAGTGCTTTGAATCGTGCTCAGGCACGGTTCACTTGGCCAGCCTTGGCCCGGTTTGAAGAGGTGAGCCAGAGCCCGGTTCACTCGGGCTTTGGCGCGGTACGCTTGCGTGTGGAGTGCAAAACGCAACTAAGGCGAAAACTGAAAGTGAGACGTGACTTTTAAGGGACTGTTTCATATGGATTAGTTAATCATTCTTATTGTTCAATGAACGGCAACTGTTCAGATTATTAAAGACGCAAACTCCTCACTGCACGACAGCTGCACCTTCAGCAAACCTCCTAATTCCTGCAGCACAAGGACTTTATGACTGTTTATGAGTGTCAAAAGTGGCTGATCTGTTCGGCGAAATATTTGACGGCGAGTCACTACATCCCAAACAACTTAAACGATATAACTGAAGAAATCTCCACTGTACTGAGCGAGAGCATCTCTACTGAACAGCACATCATCAATGATGTAAGCGAGCCCATGCCCAAATGGAATGTGAGTGTGGGCCGTCGGGGGAGATGGAAGCGGGGACAAGCCTGCTTTGACTCGGTTTAAGGAAACTGTATATAGTGTGAGTATGCCCTAAATGACACTTCGCAAGTGCATGTCAAATTACACTAACCCTAACCCTAAATCCCAAACTAAGAGTGTATTTATAATCCAATAATAATTAGTTGGCATAGATGCAATGTAACTTAAATTCAACAAACGGACCATTAAAATACAGTATGACCAACAAGGGGTATCATATAAAACGAAACGTGCGTTTTGGGAATGTGAACCTGCTTTTTCTTAAACCAGGCTTCAGCAAAATATTTAAAGTCTTCTCCTTGTTTTTGTATTTTATCTACATGGGGTAAGCACAGCACCACTAAAAGTCTAGAGAGTATACTACATTAGTTTTAATCAGTTTCATGGTATTTTCATGGGAGGCAAAAAAGTTAAGTGTCAATGTAGCCAAATAACTTGAAAAAATGACTTAAAAATAATGACAATGCACTGACAAATGAAAATAATCTGTTTGTTTTTAGTTTTTGCTTTTTTGAATTAGCCCCTTGTAACTAGCAGGTGTCCTCAGTGTGCTACTAGTGCATCTGACCAGTGAATCCAGCTCATGTAACCTAATCTGTCTAACCAAGCAGTGACTTTAGCAATCGCAGTTTAATAAAAAAACAACACAAATTATGTCTCTTGCATTTTCAAAGAGGCCAACAGATGATACTGAAACTAGCAACGGACATCTGAGGAACTATTACTTTGATTTATTTATTTTTTAATATATTTTCAATATGCTAAAAATTGCCAGCATGGCTTTTCTGACTTCTACGTACAGTATTTATATTATTATCAGCGATGCTACTAGCTTAACTACCAGGCCTGTTTCCCGGATCATTTTGAGAAGTGTGAGTGCTCTGAATCGGGCTCAGGCACGGTTCACTTGGCAGGCCCTGGCCCGGTTTTTAAGAATATTTATACATTACAGTGTGTATGTGTGTATATATATATATATATATATATATATATATATATATATATATATATATATATATATATATATATATATATATATATATATGTGTGTGTATATACTGTAATGCTTATTCCAAAATATTTTTCTTAACTATAAATGAATATTTTAAATGTGTAACGCCTGGTTTTATTGGATTTTTTTGTTTTTTGTTTTAGCTGTTCTATACCATAATGTGTTTCTGTTTAGTACAGCATATTATTTACAGTAAATAACTGAACTAAAATATTATGCCTCATAAGTTTTATTGACAGTTTTATTGATCAAAAAGATTTGATTGACTTGGTTTTAAGTTGCTTCGATTTAAAAATGAAAATTGTAAAAATAGCTAAGATGTAGCTATAAGCTACTTAATCCATGTAGGTTTTAGCTTAGCTTGCTACAGTACATTTCCTAGGGGGTGGCTTTTAGTGTAGTTAGGCTACATTTTAAGTAGAGTAGCTAATAGCTTCGCTCACTACATTTTTCAAGTAGCTTGCCCAACACTGATCATTATTTTCCATGGTATAACAAATTGTTTCCAAGATAATCATATTTAAACAAACTGTGAAAAGACAGCATCAAGCAGTGCGTCCCCACAAATGTCATCTGCAGCTTTAAATTGCCCAAGTCCTATATGTTTTCAATGGATTCTGACTAGCTGTCAGTGTTTTATCGTTAATTAGCTGAAAAAAAGGTTCTGAGAGTAATTCCATTGATATTGTTTCCATTAAAAACGCAGCCACTGAGAAATGGTTTCAAGTATCTTGGGTGATCTGAAATTGCTTGGTTCTGAAAATAAAATGAAATATGAAAATTTCACAGAACTGAGTATAGAGCAGCTTTTTGCAGAGAGATCATTCAGCCAACCAGAAGTGACAGCAGCAAGTAGTCTGGAAGAAAACACTAAGACTGTCTAAAATCGCATAGTGATGTACTTAGGCTAAAGGTACCAAAAGAGTGTTTATTGCAGGGATGCCATAGCAGGGGCACTTTTGCTTACAGTGTAAGGTTCTAGGGCTATAGTGTGATTGTATAGGACATACTACATTTGCTATATGATTATCACATGAAACACACTTCACTGCCATTCATGAACACTCTCAAGTGGCCTCGTAGGAAAGTAAAATTTCCATTAGGTGTACACCTCAGAATTTTGTTATTCAGACTTGTAACCTACTGTTTAATGAAGTACTGAGAATTCAATATACTTTATTTGTTTGTTGCTATTTTTTGTGTACTACAGAGTAAGAGAGTATGCAGATTTGGATGCAGCCAACAGGAATGTTTTACAATAACAATGTCAGAGAAACGTTTTATTTTTCCTTGCAATTTTGAAAAGCTTTGCAAACAGATGTTGACATTTTCATAAAAATTACTTAAAATGCTTTATTATTTATGCGGGGCTAACAGATGGCAACCATGCCATTTTGTAAAGAAACATTATTTACCTGCACAGAAACGAATATAATATTGTTTTCCAAAACCCATTTTTGAAAGTTTGTAATTAAAGATTCCAAAACAAAACTCCCCAGACCAAAATACATACAAGTTTTCAGTTTTTAGTTGAACAGCATTGTTTAAACACTCACTCAGATCTGATTTGGCAAAGAAACTCATTATATTTTCCATGCAATGGAAAACCTGGAAGAAAAATCTACCAAAGTTTCTCGCAATATTTCCCAATGTGTTTTACAAAGGAGGTTTTCATTTTATGAGAAAAACAGGTCTGTGGTAAACGCAACTCAAAAATATCAAACTGCACAGATTCAAATCCAAATCCAAAATGTTCTTATCTAACCATTTTTTTTATTTTTTATTCAAGGCTTATTGAAAATGTGCCTTGGCTGAAATTTTATTGCAACACGTAAATTTATTGCCGATGAATCCACTAGAGAACAGCATCTAATTTTTTTTTTTAACTAAAATACGTAACTTTAAGTATGTTTTGTAGTAGGCCTACGTTTTAGATGTCAAATCCACTAGAGGGCACTGTCAACTTCAAATCTTCAAATCTGAAATATGTTACTTTAGT